CTATATATAGTCGAGAGAATGAAAGTGTTCTACTATTTAATTTACTCACACGACAACCAATTCATTTAACCAGTTAGCCTTTCTCACGATGACGAATATCCACCATTTTTGGGTGACATCTAATTCGCGTTAACCAATGCAGAAAATTAAAACAATGTGAAAAGCAATTTTTCAAAATAAACTAACCATTTACAAAGCAAATTTACCATCATTCGTCCAAAAAATTATAAAAAGTCGCTGTTATGTGGACTTATTTCGCGGACTTCGGCTGAAAAGCCCAAAAGTGGCGGCATGAGAAAGGGCTAATTACCTGCAACTTCGGTCACTTCCTGTCTCTTCATGATTGGTCAATTGCACCAAAACCAAAGTTGATTGGTAGTGATTGACATATAATCAGTATCGGGCCAATTTTTTCCTTATCGGTAGATTGGTATTGGGTAGATTGTTGCATGAATAATCAGTAATTTCCGATCCGGTAAAATCTGGTCAATCACTAGTGATCGGTGCACTTACTACCATTTGCAAGCTACCATTAGGCGTGCGATTTTTTTCATGTTTGTTTACGTTTCAAAAGTTCAGGTTTTTGACCGGAAAACGTAAACGTTTTGAGCAAGCCAATCAACGTTTGGCGGTGTGTTCAATTAAACTTTGCTAAGATAGTGGCAAACGTTGATTGACTTGCTCAAACGTTAATGTTTTCCGGTCAAAACCTGAACGTTTGAAACGTAAACAAACATGAAAAAAATCGCACGCCTAATGGTAGCTTGCAAATAGCAGTAACAGGAAGTTTATCAATTATACAAGAAGTTATCAATTGAAATTTTCAAAGAACTCGGCAAATGAATTGGTAGAATATTTTAGGAACACTTCCAATGCCACGGGTATAAGTGCCATTGCACCCTAATGTGCCCTACTTTGTTAAAAAACTCGGTCCAACGCCAGACAATTTTACTCGTCAAGGCAAAAGTGCTGGCACTCAATGGGTTAATCAGACTATCTGCCCATGTGTCTTGTTAACCCTTTGAGTGGTATACTGGACCCACAACGAAATTAATACTATGAATAAATTGAATATCTATCTGTTTCTTTCAGAAGTTTCTTCCGTGAACGACGGCACAGTGAATGCTTATACAGAAAGTGATAAATTAACAAACTCTGAAGAGTTACAAAGTAAAGCCGAGGGCCCTAAAAGTCCGTCCTGTCAAGAGGTTCAAAAAGATTCAAATTGCACTATTAACAAGTCGGTAGAATTACTTCATTCGCGCGAAAACGACAGTAGAGTTACTCCGCCAAGCCCAAGAGTAAATAAAGAAAGAAATTTGTTTACAGAACTAAAACTAAGAAAGCAATATTATGATGAACAAGTCAATTCTGCAGCAGGGGACGAAAATATCTCGTCTGAAGTGTCAGATTTAAACAACAACGTCAACGACAGCAAAAGCAAAGCAGCAAGTGGTTTTGAAGAAGACAAGTTGTCGGAAAAGCCGCATACTGTTAATCCTAAAGACAAACAATCGGCCAACTTGCACTCAAAAAGTGTCGGCCATAGAGAGCAACGGTTTCACCAAAAGTCCGAAGAATCCTCTTTGCAAGACAATAACAGCATAGCAAAGAATGAACCGCCTTTACCGGGGATCGCAACTGAAGCAAAGATAAACAGTACGAGATCATGCGATGAATCTACAAACAATTTTGAGGCAGCTGACATCAATAAAGGGGTCAGCGACCAGGTTTCACAGGAGAAATTTGAGGGACATCAATTGAGTCGTGAAGTGGGAGGAGGTAATGAGAAGATGTTTGTATGCTGTGAATGTGGAGAGAAATTTGATGATGAAAACAGTATGATAATGCATTGTGTGGATGTCCACTAAGATATAAAACCTGATTTTCATTTGGTCACGGCTGTCTTGGCGAAGACATGGTGAAATGATGCCAATCTCGTTCCCTGAGCCTGCGATCCTCGGGAAGTAACGAGAGGCTCTGGGATAATCCGTTGCCGGAAGCCAAGAATTCTGGCTAAGATTGAACTACGCATTCCATTTCAACGGCCAATCAGATTCCTCCCTGAAACGGATTATCCCAGAGCCTCGCGTTCCTTCCCGAGGATCGCAGGCTCGGGGAACGAGATTGAAATGATGCGAGATAATCCTAGTACCAGTGTGATATAGTTTTGCAGCAAACTAGGAAATATTGTTACCGAAATTTCCTACTGTTACAGAATATATATAGACTATATGGAGGTCAGACTCTTCCGCGCATTCGATGCCAGCGTAACCGACTGCCATGATTTTCCTAGCCAGTACGCGAAGCCGCAAGAGGCCGTCACCCAACTATTCCGAAAACATTCAAAATGGGTAAATGGCGAGCTTGTTTTATAATCTCGGTCTGTGCCAGTGCAGGTAGCGACGATAACAAGACAGGATTGAGGGAGCATACAACTTTCGTTGCCATACTACTGTAGCTATAGGAACATGGCTGCCGGTTACGGGTCTAGTCGGACCCACTGGCGGACCTCTGCGTTACTGTTGTCATAATTATGTTCGTAACCGTGATTTTGTAGTCGACATGTTATAGACAATTCCCATTACAGACTAATTTTAAAACTAGGCAAGGCGATGCAAATAAATCACCACAGCTACATAGAGCATACTAAAATTAGTAAATTTGCAAAGTTTGGTTGCGAAATGTGTAAAAATGCGGAAAATACAGCCTTGCAAAGTTCGCAAATTTTGTATACTTTTGTATTGCGTGCGGAAATTGCAACCATTTTCGGCCCAAATGTGGTAGGAATTTCCGCACGCAATACAAAAGTATACAAAATTTGCAAGGCTGTATTTTCCGCATTTGACAACATTTCGCAACCAAACTTTGCAAATTTACTAATTTTAGTATGCTCTTTCTAGCTGTGGTGATTTATTTGCATCCTTGCCTAGTTTTAAAATTAGTCTATAATGGGAATTGTCTATGTGTCAGTGAACTCTATATATCTGGACATTGAAGTAGCAACTCGCGTGCAAAAAGTGAAGCGAAAAGATGGCGAAAATTTATTTCTAGTGGCCGTCCTTTACAGTAGACAGTGTCTGCGCGGAAAAATGGATTTAGCTGGGGAAAATGGTATGAAAAATGCTTATACGACCTTCATAATCATAGGCACAGAATGTTAATTTCCGTTATCTTGGCTTGACTTTTCTCATAGACTGAAGATTATTACTCCAGCTTTGTTTCCTGAAGCCTGAAGGTGAGCACACCAGGAAACATTGTGGAAGAAAGATTGTTTCCCGCCAACAAACAAAAAGATAGTTCCCCGTTTGACTCTTATCAACTCTCATTAAATTTGAGCTGATAAGAGTTGAAGAGAGTTCTTGGTCCAAAATTGCAACATCGTAAATTTATTTGTGGGAAATAATGTTATATAAATATTGTAAAAAAAAACATTTTGTTAAATTTTTTGTCATATAATCTATAGATTATTACTGTAATAGAATGATTTCTTGTGCAAAATATGCCATGCTCATGTGTGTCGTTTCCAAACTTTGTGTACTCGAAAACAAATTATATTACCTTACAGTACGTTAATATGAACCTAAAGAATCAAGGACGGCAAAGCGACGACGACAGCCAAACGAACTTCTTCAAATACATTATTGTGGAGTTGGTTACTCTAGTTTTAGTTAATGTTTAGTACTAGTATTTATCTCTAAAATTAGTTCTAGACTAAGTTTAATTTTAGTGGACTGAATTATTTTGGCATGACTAAAGGCCCGTTTACACTTGCAATTTTTGCTTCGATTTCTAGTGCGATTTTCTTCTTCTGATGGATGTGAACGAGTGGATGAATTATGAATGTTCAGATGAGGGTACATGTACTCAGAACATGAATAGCTCATTCACTCGTTCACATCCATCAGAAGAAGAAAATCGCACTAAAATTGCACGTGTAAACGGGCCTTAAAATAGGATTTTAGTTTTTTTAGGACTAAAACAACACTAGCTATTTACTAGCTACTGCCTATTTATAGAGCGTTTGCACTCATTCCCCAGGGACCAACTCAACAAAAGCCATGGCGACCATGTTGGTGTTCCAGACAAAAGAGTCTATAATTAAAGTTCTTTTAAATTGGAACACCGACATGGCGGCTGTGACGTAATGTGCAAACGCTCAATATCTACGTCGTACGCTAATTGAAATAATTTACTGCACATGAACGACTTTCGGCTTTGCCGTACTCATGGAGTCGCCACAGTATGTGTCTAGGTTGACAACCACAGATATTATTGTTATCATTTGCCTAAAAAACAAACAATCAAAATTATGCAAATGTTCCTGTGGGGGAGTGGGGTTGACACGATTGAACTGAAATATTGAAAGTGTGACTAACGCCAAATATGATTTTTGTATTTGTAATATTTGGGTAATTCGAAGAAGAAATGTAATGTATCTTTATAATAAAAAATCCCATCTTGATCAACTTTTTCACAATCAAAGTTTCCGGATATGATGTCATTAGGTGAATTGCAAATTAGTTTTGCTTTGTTTTTTGTACCAAAAATTCACCTAATGACATCATATCTGGAAACTTTGACAGGGAAAAAGTTGATCAAGATGAGGTTTTTTACTATAAAGATATATTACATTTCTTCTTAGAATGACCCAAATATTACACATACCAAAAATCATATATGGGGTTAGTCACACTACAGTCCGATCTGCGCATGTGCACAAATGAGCCCACTTTTTATGATACAAACAGTTTAACTATGTTTTGAGTTCTTGAAAAGCCTGATTGTTGTTTCTTGATCATTTATTATACTCTAGAAGCTTCAAAATATAAATAGTTGTCGAATAAAGCTCAATATTTTGAACACAAAAATGTAAACAAAGCCTTTGTTTACATACGGACTGTAGATCACCTTTAAGCATCTTGTAGATGGAAATTTAATCTTGTAGATGGAAATTTCGAGAGTATATTTTATGTTTATTTAGATCTAACCAGGAGCAGTTGTGAAAAATGCAACTATAAGCCCTCTGGCAGAAATCGAACCTGCCGTTTTCCATTTACAAAACCCACTTACCTAATTTAAACCACTTTGGAACAGTTTTCGCTGTATTTGATCTCGTCACACTCTCCCGGCTTTCATTTGCATGTTCTACAGGCGTAGATACAGTTTTGTCTTCCGGTTGAGATTGGTTTGTCCGAATACTGTCCCGTGATCCACTGGGCATATTCGTTTCAATTTCGTGTGTCGAAGAAGATGACGATGAACTACATAAAGGGGAATACTAGATATGAGTTTGGATTTCCGTATTCAGTCCTTGCAAGTAATTTTCGACAGCGAACGTCAATTAGCCTTTTTCACGGCCGATTTTCCCGCCATTTTCGGGGTACTGCCTCGCCCATGTTTGAGAGGGCAATTGATAAAACTAGAATAGTGAAGCGAATAGTGCGAATAGTCGACGAATAGTCCGCGAATAGTCGACGAATAGTACGAATAGTCCGGGAATAGGCGACGAATAGTACGAATAGTCCGCGAATAGGCGACGAATAGTGCAATAGAGGCTTTCCAAGGCTTTGCAGCAGTGCTGTAGAACTAAATTTACCGGGGGGGGGGGCTCTATTGACAAACACGAAGTCGTGAAAACATTCGTTGACGTACGTCAATGACGTCATACGTAACCGGTAAAAATTATGGGAACCACCGAGTATTTTAATAAAATATAAAACAACGGCAACTTCGAAAATAAACATTTTAATATTGTAGCTTTCCCGCTGGTCATATTCAGCAAATTTTCTCCCAGTATCGCAGGCTCGCATTTTCAGCGAACTTGTTGTGAAAAATTGAAACTTTTGCATTTTGCACAGAACTGCCCACTTTCTGTAAGATGTCCGCTGACAATACGAGCCCGCACGAGTGGAAGAAATTTTGCTAAATTTGACCAACGTGTTTCGACTAAAATTCAGTCATCGTCAGGAAATATATTTCATATTTTTTAAATTTATAATCATTCCTGATGGTAAGTGGTAACCATATGAGCGAGTCATGAATTTTACTGATGGAATTTTATAGGAATTTTACTTGTAAGTTGTGACGTTGTAACTGAAGATTTAAGGGCTTAAGTGATTTCGTGTGCTTGGAAAACGTGATTTACATCACGAAACAAGAGAAGGTATCGATTTATTATTTAAGCCCGTTTTTGGGCGAATTTGTTCGCGCGAAGCGAAAACCAAATTTCGGCAATGTGATTGGTCAACGACAAAATTCGCCGCGAAAAAGTTGGATCAGCCTACTCTTTTACTTGTTGCTTCGCGCGAACAAATTCGCCCAGTGGAAAACGTCATTCTAGTGATTGTCATTCTACTTCCTGTTAAATATTTGTTAAAACTCAGTGGTCCCGTAATTTTTACCGATTACGTATGACGTCATTGACATCAACGAATGTTTTCACGATTTCATGTTTGTCAATAGAGCCTCCCCCCCCCCGCCCCGGTAAATTTAGTTCTGCAGCACGGTGGAAAGCCTTGCAAAGTCTCTATTGCACTATTCGTCGACTATTCGTACTATTCGTCGACTATTCGCGGACTATTCGCACTATTCGTCGACTATTCGCAGACTATTCGTACTATTCGTCGACTATTCGCACTATTCGCCACTATTCTAGTTTTATCAATTGCCGGGGAAATCCCTACAGGAGAGATTATTTATAACTCTCGACTATTCGCGGACTATTCGCACTATTCGTCGACTATTCGCGGACTATTCGCACTATTCGTCGACTATTCGCAGACTATTCGTACTATTCGTCGACTATTCGCACTATTCGCTTCACTATTCTAGTTTTATCAATTGCCGGGGAAATCCCTACAGGAGAGATTATTTATAACTCATTACTGATTTTATCCACGAAGACGGAATTCATTTTGTAAACCAACTATTTATTTCATGGATAACTCACACGTACACGTTGTCTTTATCTTCTTGCTGTTTTAAAAGTGATGGCCAGTTAAAACTACTAAATAAGTAACAGTGCGTAGAAGTTTGGTCTGAAGTTTGACCAAAGTTATTGAGAATAGAAAAGACACCTTTTGGCATGACATCACGGTGAAAGAATCCAGCTTTAATATTAATTAAACTAGAAGTTACTATCGCAAGGAAACTGCTGCCTCATCCACAATGGATCAAAGCCACCATGTGCAATTTGCTGAAAAAGGGTCTGTTTATATGATCCTGCTTTGCCAGGATGAGATACGAGGCAGGGCGATTTCGATGTATTGAAATACGTCATGGTCTACAACATTTCAGTTCTGTTAACCAGCATTTGAACTTTCATTTAGCCATAGCATATCGAAGGGAAGATGGCTGTGAAACTCATTAGAATAACAATATAATGAAACTAGTGAAACTCATTAGAATAACATTATCTATGCTTGTGTGATGTTACTCTGAGTGTATATCCACACCGGGCAGGCTTGAAAAATATGCCTGGCCACGGTGGGAATCGAACCTACGACCTTTGGAATACTAGCCCAACGCTCCAGTGGCGGCGCCAGCCTCTTAAAAGTGGGGGGGATTTTCGAGCGGTGAAGGCGCGAGACATTTCTAGGGGGGTCCGGGGGCATGCCCCCCGGAAAATTTTTGAAATCTAGAGACCCTGAAATACGATTTACTGCATTTTCAGGGTAAGATTATACAGAATTCCGAAGATTATAAAGTAAACAAAACACGATTTTTTCATGACTATATATAAGATCTGAAAATATAGTATTACAGTCATGTTCAATTGGGGCAATGCCCTGTTTGGCCACCAGTTGTTTTTTTAACTAATTACTACATTCTTGTATTTAGCAGTATATATAGTAGTGCTTGGATGATGCAAGTGTGTATGGTTTTTCTTCTAAAGCAACAAAGTTATTAAACTAAACTAAACTAAACCTAAAGGAATTGCTACATCCACAAAACGTGAAGACAACATAATTTTATATTTTAAATACAAATGGAAATAACTGTTAGGTAGAATAATAATGGCTAATCTATGTAATCGTTAAAGCTGTTTACAAGAGAAGCTTAAGAGGTTTTGCAAGCTTAAATATTTCCACTAATTTGCTAAGTTCAATTCTGTTGGCTAGATCTCGTTCGCTGCTAATCTGGACAAGGTCCTCGAGTCTATCAGGTGACATAGCAGCTCGCAAATAATTGTTTATTATTTTGACCTTGCTGTGTGTGCGCTCACATGATGCCACTGTCACAGGCAAGGTAGCGACAATCTTGATGACCTCAAACAAGTTGGGATAAAGATGGTGCAGATCATCTTTGCTGAAAACTTCGAGCAAGGAGGGCAAGCAAATCCAAGATGGAAACCTTCTTGTGGACCCTTTCTCTTTTCTTTTCTTCTGTTCGCTGATATGATGCTCGTATGCAATCTTCCAGTCGTTACATTGCTTCGATTTCGAAAATAGGAGGAATTGTTGCCCGACACGATTGCTGCTAAGCTTGTAGAACTGGGCAATCTTCTCAACTTTAGGAGCATTATCTTCAGCAAGGTTTCGTGGATGGAATGTTGCGGCAAGAGTCATCATTTCGCATGCTTTTTCCGAAAAGCGTTTGTTCAGCTCTCGTAGAATCCTGTCCAAGAACGGCAAGTAAAGTTCTCGTCTAAAACACTCCAGCTCTGATTCACCATCTGGTCGGTTGCATCGTAGGTTAGGCATATCTAGAATGTTTTGGCCATCAGCGAGATGAGCAGGTAGTGTTCGGCGACGCTTGGATTGCAACGCTGTTGGATTGCAATCATTAAAAGTAAAACTACCATGAAGCACTTCGTTACCACATTTTTCAGCTAATGAATTAGCTTCCTCTAGAAATAGGTCGAACTGTTGATCACTGCGATAAGATGTCATTGTTGCTTTTAGATCCTGAATGGCAGTAACTCCTGATGTGAGATCCATATCTTCTCTCTGCAAGTACTCTGATGCATGTGTGCTAAGAGAAAAGCATTTCTGTAACATGAG